CTTCATGTTTTGACTACTGCTATGACCAGCTGCAAAGCTGGTAACAGAGACGTCTTGGTTGACGTTTCTGTGTAGTATGGGGCTAGCCCAACCGAGGTGATATAATGTATAGGCCTGGTGGGTTCAGGGTCTTTCATCTTACATCTGCCTGCGAGCAGTTTGGAGGTGCAAGATACCTGAGCGTGTAATGTTAATTTTACCTGTGATCCTTTGAATAAATCAGCACTGTTTTGAAGTTACTTGGACTGTCTCGTCTCTCAGAGTTAGCAAAGGTAAGAAGAACCACCGTCCTTCAACCTCCTGAGCCACAGCCGCCCCTACATCTTAATGTAGTATCAGTCAGTGTATCCAGCTCGTCTCTGATTGGTCCATCATGAGAGTGGACTGATTCTTAAGCAAGCAGACTGCAAACAGTAGTGATTGTTTGTGTCTATTTTTGTTGCTTTTTTCTGCTGTGTCACTCTCTTGACTGCGTTGGATTCTAATGTTGCTGTATTTATTGGGATTGGAACTTAATGGCAGCTCTCAGCACTGCAAGTAGATCTTTTGTCTGCCTTCGCCTTTCAGTTGGTCTTTTAGATCCAGCACTTATAAACATTTTACACCATTTTTCTCCCAACTACCCAACAGTACATACACTAACTAAAATCACTTAGGCCATGCATCAATAATAAGTCAATAAATTTTCATCATTGTCCGGGAAAAAAGCTACAGAACATTACCCAGCAGAAGTGATCTTTCACCTTACTTGGAATCGTAATCAAATCAAAACAACGTGAGACATTTCTGTTTCTATATCCATTTGTTCCACAAATGATGCTTGATGTCATTTCTCTGAATCTTTGTCGACGTCCACTGCCTGTAGTTCAACCTAGAGCAGGTTTATTACAGCTCTTCCATTTGCTGCTCCAAACACTTTGTGTCTGGCAGCCCTCTTCTGGGAACATGATGTGTTTTCTGTTTGTTTGGTGTAAGCAGAAGAAGAAGGCCTGTTTGCATAAGCAGCGATGACTATCCTTACTGAAACAGAGAAAAAAAAATACATCTAAGAAACTCAAATGTCAACAACAGAAAATATATGTTAAAGTACAAAATAGGTCCACCCACACTGTTTGATTGACAGGTGGTTTCTGGAAGGCGCAGTGCAGAAATACAGCACCACCACAGAAAACCATGAGAAGTGAACAGACTGAGCTGGAATTCAGTGTTCTTCTTCCGCATTTTCATGAAAACTGCATGAAAATATGATCTTGAATAGTCATTGTTGTGAGTTGAGACTTATTTCTGGAATCTTCCAGAAAGAAGTGAAACAAATTTAGACTAATAAGAAGAATGATGACTAAACTTAACTAATGTGCTTGTTTTGCTGTGTACAGTAGGTACCTGTATACGGGTGTAAATTGATTTGCAAATAAAGATGGTGTTATAATTAGGGCTTTGTGTGGTTCGGTTGACCTCAGGAAAATAAATAAAATGTTAAAAAATCAGAACTTTATAAAAATGTTCAAAGCATTTTTGTATATGAACAGACATTTAAGAGCTTCTCTGTGACTCCTCTGTGGGTACATTTTATCTGCACAGAAGACTCTAAGATGTACACTACAGCCAGATTACTGGGACAATAGATCAGCGTTATGTAACAGTGTCATTCAGAGTTTTAGCTGGAGGAGAGCACACAGGTTGGATAAATGTAGGCTAAACTAGAGTTTCTGTGGCTGATACTGACAATGCATTGAGACATGTGTTAGACATTGCTGGAAGGATTTGTGATTGTGGACCACTAATCCGAAAAGGTCTATGGCAAACAGAGCCGCGCACACCAGGGAGGACTGAATTTAAAACACACACTCCCAACCACAAGCGTAACCGCTGAGAATTGGCCATGCTTTGCTAAGCTTTCGTCTCACACCTACAGTATGAAGGTTACAGACTGAGAATAACAAGATGCGCAGCACTGTGCAGAGGAGAGAACAGCGTGCTGCATGTAATTTCATTTTACGTGACACCCTGCATTATCTCAGGTTCAGTCAGACAAAGGAGGCATCCCTGTGGAAGACCTTGATTTGGAGGTTGTGGGAACATAATGCTGTCTTGTCTCCTATTTTGACAATGAAGACATCCACACAGGCACTGATACTTTTTGAAGCAATATATATTGCCGGCATGTGTGGTGCCATATGTTGCACTTAAAAGTAACAAAAATGAGTTTTGTCCCCAGTTGATGACACATGAAGTATTGAATGTGTGACTACCTCTGCGTCAGCGTGAAAATTATTCAGAAAGATGTGAAAATTATTTATGTCAAGACAAGTTTTTCTGTCTGATTTTGTTCAGATTTAATGTGATCCTGTTCAGCTAAACACAAATCCTGATATTCGGACACTCACAAGCACACACATGCATCCCGTACACATGTTCACACACAGTCAGCATCACTTCCTGGGATGACAACCTGACAGTGCACAACCAAAGGCCAAAAGCTGAGAGGGATATTTGACTTGACAGTCCATGCTGAGGCAATTTTCCAACATGGATGAACAATAAAGTTCTATTGTGCTCTATTCTGCGCTGCATTGTTTAGTCCTCTTTTAACTACTCATCAGCTCTAAAGTTAAATCTTCCCCTTCAAAGTAAAACAAAGCAACAAGCTCTGAACCAAAAACAGAGGAAACCCCACACCTCACCCCCTCCAGTCCTACGATAGACACTATTTCCTTGCCTGGTTTGTAGTCTGCACTGAGGCCTGTTACTGAGTAATGTGTGGTTGGTGTGAGCTCAGAGGGGTTGGCAGCCTCCATGCAGTTCCCTCAAAGCCACTTTTGTGATGTTGCTTGAACACTCACGCCAGTCCTGGTCTAAGAAGGAGGGAGGGGAGGGGATGGGGAAAGGGGCTTAGCAGCAGCTCTGTGAAGCAGGGAAGAGAGAGTGTGCATAGTGTGTGGCCACTTATAAAACTATAGAGGCTCTGCTGTTGTCACACATTTAAAAATCATGTCTGGTGTCTCTACTCGAAACTCAAGTCAAGTTCAACAGACGCAAAAAAACTTTTAACTTTTAGCGTGCTAAGGAATCGCACCAGAGAGAAGTATAGTTTTTAAAACAATTTATTTCACACATTAATCAGAACACTTGTGAATTTGCATGCTAATTTCTTCTATATAATACAACAAATCCAACTTTTGGTGTATAACATTTTTAGAACTAAGTTACAAATTGCTCAGCAGAGGAGCAGAGAAACATGTGCCACAACACTATAATCACAGAAGTCATTAGGATAATACAGAGAGAACACAAATAAAATCACAGAAATTAAAAGAGCCTGTAAAGACATCGCTAAATACAGAAATGCAAGTTTATAAAAATTAGTTTTCAGGCTACTGTAGATGTCAGCAAATGCCCCTTTGTTCATTAGATTTAAGTCTAGACCGGGGAGTTTATAGGCTCTAAGGTGGAGTGCAGGTGTGTATGGGAACAAAAGCAGCAGTCAGATCATGGAGCTCTTTAAAGGTAAAACATTAAAGCTCCTAAATAAAATCTGTTTTCAAAACTTCGATGTATCTCCATTACGTTAAATATTAATGACTTACTAAACAACAGCCAATGTTACATCCTTCAGTATTGTTATTGAGAATTCAGCAGTAAAAAAAAAAAAAAAAATTTGATCTGCTTTCTTTAACTCTGTGGTGTATTTTTTTTGACCAGATCATTGATTGTGGCCTGGCCAACAGTCATCATCACTACAAACATTTTCTTGCCGTGTCTAAGGTTGAGTGCATGTACATAGTATGGGCAACAAAGCTTGGGCTGGGGCCAAACCACAGAGTGCTTTATAAATACTACAAAGTATTAAAATCAGGTCTAAAATCACCCGGTAGTCAATCTAAGGAGGCTCATACTAACATAGTGCTGTTTTACATTACAATATGCAGTTATCTGAGCCTATATAACCACTGTATAGGTAGTCTTGCTATTACCGGACACAGCTACTGTACTAATTAAACCTGTATTAGCTTGTTTTGATATCAGATAGGTTTGCAAGCAAACAGTAATAATTAAAAAGTTAGAAAACTACAATTATGTGAATATGGATCAAAAACTCATAAAGATCGTTCTAAACAACTGAAGGATCCACATGTCTTCTCATAACCACACCTGCCCAACTAAATACCCCCAGTGTGGCTGACAAATGGTGACTTGTATCACCTAAGTGCCCTCTCTGACAATTGTTATAGCTGAATGTTTGTAGTTCCTAGTTTACCCACTCTCTTTGTGTGTGTGCATGAGCTGTTAGCCCAGGGAGAGGAACAGGGGAAGTCATCTAGAAGAAGATGTATGTAAACCCATTTCCAAACAAATGGGCCTGACTGCACGGGAACGGGGAGAGGTGCCATAAGCGTCCGGCGTGCATAATGCCCACATGAATCAAGACTTCCAGGCTGCTGAACGTGACCACACAAGCTCTTGTATGAATAGCACATGTCACCGGCAGTCGCTTATCATCAACAACGGTCGCCGACCCCAACAGCAAGGCCCCATTCTGAAGCTGAGAGTCACTGATCATTATTATAGACGTCTTGAAGCTCGAGTTAGCTAGTCACACTCAGCCAGTCATACATGTTTATGTGGTGCATGTAATGGAGAAACAGTACAATATAATACATGCAAAATTTGACTAATACAGGGGCTGTCAGAGTGTTGCTGAGGACACACAGGGGCCTTGTGGAG